AAGACCGGATCTTTTGTAATAAAAAAAAATCAATTACTTGAGATAACGATGAATTCAATGAAGATGATTTTCACCGCGAACAATATGAATATAAACATTTAAACGAAGAAATTTGTATGTCCAAAACATGAAAAGTTGATATACATGAATTTTGCAAGTATGTCCAAAACTCATGTGAAAACTCATGTATTTTGCAAGTATGTCCGAAACATGAAAAGTTGATATACATAAATTTTGATGTTTTGACATAAATACAACTTTTGGAAACTTTTGTATGGCTTTATAGACTTAGGATTAGATATAAAAACATATTATCAAGTCCATAAACCAAGAACACAATATATTTTCAAATATGATTGAATATGAAACATATGAACATATATATGAATATATATTTGTTTCATATCTAAAAAATCAAACCAAAACATATATGTATATATATATATTTAACTTGAAATGCAATGCTTCATTCCACAATTCCGCCAACCTCCATTAGATATGATCGTTATGGCGCAATTCATCCATCCTCCAACTCGTTGTTTGCCTAGAATAAATACGAAAACACAAACACTAGACAAACAACATTAGATGTAAATTGTTTGTAAATCATCATCAAAATAAGAAGGCTAACAGAGTTTCATTCACTGTTATCACACACACTTATTGAGCTTAATATTTTCATACCATATAGTGTGGGTTGTGGGGTGTGATTTAGTGAGTGTGAGCTTCATTGTGTTCTCACTTGTTATTTGAGAACAAATCATTGTATTTAACTTTTATTTGTGAGAATTACTTGTAATACACTTGTACACCAAGAGAAGTGTGAGGAGAGACATGGGGTCGAATCCAATAGGAGTGGCGTCGATTGACGAACCTAGGAGAGGTAGTAATCGAGCACTTGAGGAGGAGGACACAGGGTAGGTTCCTACACTTAGTGTGTAAAGTGTGATTGCATAGTGTTTGTGTAGTGTGAGAGTTTTCGGTGATCTTGTAAACCGAGTGTGTAGAAGTTTCTGCTTCCAAACCGGATTGTGATAGTGGATATCTCCTCGAGGTGAGGAGCGGGGACGTAGGTTGTGGTGACCGAACCTCGTAAACATATCGTGTGTTTGTGTTTTGCTTAGCGTACAATCTATTCATCATTATTGTTCATATCTATATCATATTTCTTCTTGCAAGAACAAATTGATCAACATAATTTTAATTAGCTTTTAATTAGGATTAGATTAGCATAAGACCCTAATCACCCCCCTTCTAGGGTCTAACAATACAGTTTGAAGTAGTCTCCTTGACAGTGGTATAGGCGATTCGATAGTTTTATGATTGGTCATTCGTACACTCGGAGCCAGTTTTTAAACCAGAAGGACTTGATGCCCTAGCTGGTAAAGTTTGTAAACTTGTTAAGTCTCTATATGGACTTAAGCAGGCACCGAAACTCTGGCATGAGAAGTTCGATGGAGTTATTCGTAACAATGGGTATCAAGTCAGTGAATTTGACAAGTGCATATATATTAAGGTCATAGAAGGAAAGGTGATGGTTATCTGCCTCTATGTGGATGATATGCTCATCATCGGGAGTAATTTGGAGATAGTAATATCTACCAAAAAAAAATTTTCAGCACAGTTTAGCATGAAGGACCTTAGATCTGCGGACATGATTTTTAGAATCAAAATCATATACTCTGAAGAGGGTATTGGATTATCCCAATCTTATTATGTTGAGAGCATGCTAAGAAAGTATGACTACTACAATGTGTCAGAACTGTCAGTGCCTTATGATTACCACAAAAAGCTACGACGGAAAACTGAAAGACCAGTAGAGCAGCTAAGCTACTCAAAGATCATTGGGAGCCTTATGTACATAATGAGCTGCACAAGGTCAAACATAGCATTCGCTTTAGGAATGCTTAGTAGGTTCACAAGTAATCCTGAAAAGATTCATTGGGATGTTGTTCATAGATTGATGAGATACTTGAAAGGAACTATAGTTCTGGTTCTATTTTATATTAGACTTCCGGCTATAATCGAAGGCTATTTAGATATGAGCTGGTGCTTAGATCTAGATGAGTGCAAATCTACTGAATGTTTTTTCTTCCCCATGGGTAGAGCTGCCGTCACGTGGAAGTCTAAGAAGAAGACTATGATTGTACAATCATCGATGGAATCTGAGTTTTTCGCACTCTGTGCTACTAAAGATGAAGCTAAGTGGCTCAGTTATTTTCTCCAAGACCTCCCATTGACAAAATTGTAAGGCGCAATTACTATCTATTGTGATAATCAGGCGACGAGCGCTATAGCAGCGAACTCGATGTTCAATGGAAAGAAGGGAACCATTCGTCTGAAGCGTGGCTATTCGAGAGAACTCATTTGCTAAGGAGTCATCTCTGTGGTTGATGTCTAGTCTTTAGAGAATGTGCCTGATCCTTTGACTAAGGATCTAAAATAAGACATAGTCAGAAGGACGTTTGCTGAAATGGGTCTCAAAGTTTTATGAGTCTTACAAATACTTACCATGTACATCAAGTTATTAATTCAAATCTTATGCTACTAATGATAAGATAATTGGTTCAAAACTCAAGTAAGATTTGCTAAGTTTGATGAGTCTTACAAATACTTACCATTTACATCAAGTTATTAGTTTAAAGCTTATGCTACTAATGATAAGATGATTGGTTCAAAAGTCAAGTAAGATTTACAAGTGAAATCCTATCATGGTATAGAGATGGTTGTTAAACCTTAATGAGTCCAAAACATTTCAGATGCGGGTTGTTGGATAGGTAACTTCCCTAAAGGACTCACCGATGATCCTATCATATAAAGAGGATGGCTACTAAGCCTTAATGAGTTTAAAGAATATCGGATGCAGGGTGTTAGATAGGAAATACGTCTAAAAGACTCACCTAGAATCCTATCATGAGAGAGGATGACTCTTAAGCCTTAATGAGTTCAAAGCATCTCGGATACAGGATGTTTTATAGGAAATATGCCTAAAGAACTCACCTATGCCTGTGTGGAGATTTGGCCGTCTCCTATGGTGTCTTATGGAAAGATACCTAGAGCCCTAGCAGAAACCAGGACATGCACAGGGCCATATATGTGCAAGGCAAAGGCAAAGGCAAGTGTGGTTCACAGTGAAAACTACCACAAATGAGTTTGATCTTGTGTGATCGCTAGATTTTAGACATATACTGGTTCAAGTCTTTGCGACACCATACATCTATCTTTTATTCAGTTGGTCTAAGCGGGATTCAAGTCCTTGCGATATCTACCTTATGCATAATGATTGAAACAATGACATTGTTACACGATAATAGTTTAAAAACTTGTGGGGGGGTTGTTGGAGTTTAAGTCAAAACCACTTTCCAAACATGAGTTTTCAAACTATGTATTTATTAATTACTAGTATTTTTTAGAAATCTTTAGTAGCGTAGTGAAAAGTTAAAGATTTGATGTTTCAAAAGGTCCTGTGTTCGAGGCTTGCCAACGGTAAGCCGAGAATTGTTTTTATTTAATTAATCATTCATAAGTTCTAGTGGGTCATGGGCCATGGGTCGTAGGCTCGTGGGCTCATGAGTCGTGGGCCGTGGAATAATAGGTCGGGGATTGTGGCTAATCGGGCTAAGGCGCAAAGTGGGGCTTTGTAAGACGCACTTTGCACTTCGCATGAAGGCATCGGGGCTAGGTGCCGCTCTTTGGCGTGACCCTCACGTTCCCACGAGACTGATAGCGACCCTCACGTTGCATGAAAACACAACCCTCGCATTCAGACGTTTATTCATGCAACAATTAAAACTGCATGTAGCAGTTACTGCAAAGTCATTTGCAATTATAATCATAATTGTCATTATGATTTGTAACGGTCAAATAACTCTTGAGTTGGCCTTAGAGACCTATAAATAGAGCCCCTTGGGGCAGTTCTCAAAGATACGAAAAAACACATTGACGTGTTTAAGTTGTTATGCTGCTGCTGCAGAGTTTGAAAAGCATTTAAGATTTAGTTTGTGCCTGAAGGAACAAAGCCCTGAACTGAAAGGTTATTACAAATCAAAAAATCTTTGTCTTAACCGAAAGGTTTTTGAACCGAAATGTTTTAATAGATCAAGGAGATCTTTGCCTGAACCGAAAGGTTTAACAGATCGAGGAGATATTTGCCTTGACCGAAAGGTCATATAGATTGAGGACAGTACTTGGTCCGTGCACACCAGTGTACTTATTGCTGTTCCTGGAAGCAGTTTGGCCATGGGATCATTGCACCAGAGTAGGCCAAATATTGCTTTAAACATAGCGTTTCATAAACGCACAACAGCTAAACTTGAAAAAGTTTTAAAATATAGCACTTGAGCTCTCTAACAAATTTATATGTATTATTCCAGCTTTAGCCACAAGCGCCAACAATTCTCACTTCCTTCCTCTTCATCAATTTTTATATACGTGGTTTTCATGGGGTGACATGTGAGAGCTTTTTGCTGTGACTTGTTGTGAACGTCCTCAAGCCATTAAATCAAGATTAGATATGTGGCGGTCCTTCTAAAAATCTAGTAAAAATAATCTCTAGACAAGATATTTACATAGAAATATCAGCATGTTTAGTTTACAACCTACTAATTTAAGAGACCTACAGAACGTCGTCGTTTGCATAGCAAAGGCATTGGCCATATATATAACATAAAACTTGCATGACTGAAGCAATTAACTAAATATCCTATCGCATACATGTGCTCTCGCATTTCAAAATCAAAATCCTGGCTGTCATGAGTTTTGTTTTGTTAGTTCCGGCTGTCATGAGTTGCTAATATCAAAATACAAAACACTAAGCAAGTGAATCCCTTCATTCCTTAATTTTTAGTTTGTGTCAATCATCATCCCATCATCACCACTTCCTACACGTGCAAGCCCATAATGAAGCCCATAAGTTAACCAACCAAGTCTAATATAAAGGACCAGACTCTTAACCTAGGTATTGTGTCCAAATAACAAGAAATAAAAACCAAAAAAGGAAAATGGGCTCCGAGGACGAACTCCACCTTCCAAAGATTATTTTCTCCGGTCTCAATCCGATGATCACCGGAGATGATAAATGGGCTGAGATACGGGCTCTTGTTTGGGCTGCAGTTGAAATACATGGATGTTTTGAGGCCGAATACGATAAAGTCACGCCTAAATTGCGAGATGCTCTCTTTGGGAAGTGCATGAAGGAGTTGTTTGAGCTGCCATCGGAGATAAAAATGAAGAATACCTCGAATAAACCTTATCATGGGTATATTGGTAATATCCCCTGCCGGGCTTATGAGAGCTTGAACGTTGATAATGCCAATGAGAGTGAAGGTGTAGAAGAGTTCTCGGCTCTCATGTGGGGAGACAAAGGAAATCCAAGCTTTTGGTATGTATTTACTTATTCATTCATTTGCCTTTGCTTTGATCTTGATATTAATTAGGAGGTGTGTGTGGTGAACTAAAAGTTTGTAACCTAATATTAATTTCTGTAGTGCTCCACATACGATCTTGGAATCTAATGCATAATTGCATGTTTCTTTTAAATATATATCTACAATTTACCTTAAATTTTTTTTGACAAAGTTCATCCCCTTACATCACTCGCCCTCCCTCCCTCCGGACACCCACAAAACTGGTTTATTTTGAATTTGAATGTACTGCAACTTTATAAAAGCCTTTGTTCAAAGTTTTTATGATAGACTACATGAAGTTTATTCTTCCATTTAGTTATGATAAGGATTAAGCATGTCTCTAGTTTATTTAATTATTTTTTTACACGTGTCCTTAATATATTTAAAAAACTAGCAACGAAGTTTCTCCATTAATTTGACTCTTCCTGAAACAAACTATAACAATCATCTAATTAATATTTTTTCACTTCAATTCTACACGACACGATATTTTAATTCCAATATCCAATTTAGGAGTTAATTAACTACCATAATATATGCTAGATGGAACCTGTATTGTCAAATAATTTACAGTCCTCAATTTATAGTTAGATTAGTATTCGTTTGAAATTTTTAACTAATTAATATATCTCGTCAATTACTTAAACACTTACATCTTAATTTTCACATTGCATGTCAGCAACACAATCTTTACATTCTCAAAGCACATAGCAGAATTGGAACAAATGGTTCGAAGAATGATCCTTGAAAGCCTAGGCATGGCGAAATACTATGACGAATGCATCAAATCTACGGCCTACGGTTTAAGACTATCCGAATACGGTATAGGCTCAACCAATAACATTGGAATGCAAAGCCATAGAGATTCAATAATACTCGCCATGGTATGTCAGCATGGAGTTGAGGGCTTAGAGGTTCAAGCCAAAGATGGGAGGTGGCTCACACCATCACTTAATTCCTTGACCGTCATAATTGGTGAAGCATTTTGGGTATGTGTTCTTGTCACATATTACCAATTGTAGCTTACTTCTCGAATTAGAATATATTTTTCGAACCAAAATTGCTATCTGAAATGGGCTATAAAAGACTTGGAGACCAAACAAGCAGTCAATTTTGCTTGACAGCTTGTTAGTGCGCATTATGGGATGGAAAATCGAAATGTTATAGGGGACACTCTGTAGAAAACATACGGAAAGAAAGGAGAACCTGTGACATGTGTTCTATTTTCTCTTTTGAATATGTGTACAAAAATAAAATTAGTTCAATCACCAAATTAAAAATTGCGAGCGCAATAAGTGTTGAGTCCTCCTTTCTTCCTATATGATATTCTATATGTGACCCTTTACAAGTATTTATTTTTTTTAAAACATGGATTTTCCTCTTGTTAGACCCCAAAATATATCTTAGTTTTATGTCAGGTCTCTAAATCTTCACATTTGTGGTTAATTCACACCTTCATAACAATTAATTTGTTTCGAATCCGGAGCTATTTAAGCAACTTATTGAGTATGGAGGTTACGAGTTACTACAAATATGGGTCCTATATAATGGATTTGAAGAGTAAAGTACATCTGTGAAGATTGGAATCCCTAATATGAAAATCAAATAGAATTATAATCTACTTCAAGGAAACCCTTTTTTTTTTATTTTGAGCTGGTGTGGGTTTGGTTGGTTGCTATGCCAATTTAGCATCAAAGGTGATCATCTCAGCCACTAATGGGGTGGTATCATGTTGTTGTGAGAAGTCATTGCTTGCTTATTATTTACAGTAGGACAGCACCTTATTCCTTAAAAGATTTGATATTCTTGTATACTTGATCATGACTAGGTTACTCCATCTCTTTCCTTCATTCTTTTGATTAATTTTAGTCTCCCTATGCATTAAATATTGGTTGAAAGCTACCCTCGAACTTTCATAAACGTCCTATGATTCTAATTAAGTGGATAGGTAGTGGGCCTATAACATAATCAAAATTGGAATAATAAGTTAGAAGGTATTTTTCTAATATATAGGACAGCTCTTATGTTTCGTAGATTAATACTTGGGTCCGAAGTTAGGTCGATCCAAAATTACTAGGTAGCAGGAAACAAGTGTTTCATGAACCAGCTAGCGTTCTGATAGTTTCATTTTGAAAGATGATAGCTAGGAGGTCACATGCATCACCAACGTCATGGATGATCCTCTAACATTTAAAACTACTTTAGCAACCAAACTTGAGATCGGTTTGTTATTTGAAAAGGTAAAGTGCATATAATCCTTTCACCTATGTCTTTAGTAGCATTTACCACGTACGCTTCAACTAAATTATTTAACAGCCTTCACCTAATTCATTAGCACTTAACGTCCGCCAACTCAAGCTCGATCGAGAAGAATGTTTTATAATTGTCCTTCTAAAAGTCGCGATCCAGAAGTGCTAGGTGCTAACGAAGTTGTTGAAGGGTGCTAAGTTGTTGGGGAATCCGAAGCAATTAATCGGATCCTAGTCCTTTCGGACCTTGTGTTGAAAGTAGGAAAGTAGGAAAATACCACAAATAAAGATTTAACCTTGCAAAAATAGTAAAGGAGACGAACACATAGATTTAACGAGGTTCGGCAACGTGCCTACGTCCTCGGGAGCCACACCACACAATTCTTTTATTAATTGAAGAAGAAATACAAGCTCTCAAACTAGGGTTTAATCTCTCTGAGATTCTCTCTCTCTTTTCAGTCAAAAAACTCTCTTTTTTCGTGTCTTACAAACCCTAAAAACATTTGGGGTATATAAAGAGTCCTGGTAGAAACAGAATCCAAAACAGTTTGGGAAACTGTTTGACTGAGTCGCGGTCGACCGTGACGGTCGACCACGCAAATTCCAGAGAGTTGAACGGTCGACCACGATCAGACGACAGAAGCTCCTCAGATTCTAGAGAGTTGAGCGGTCGACCGTGGCGGTCGACCACGATCAGACCCAGTCTCTTCTCAGCCTTGTGCATGTTCGCGGTCGACCGTGGATCTGTCAGGTCGTGTTCTTCGTCATTTTGATTTCAGCTCTCGTCTTAACTTTGGATCTTCACTTTAGACTAACAATCTCCAACTTGGAGACCAAAGTGCCTGCAGTAAGTTCACCCGAACTCTCCCCTTCTTCGTATGTATCTTCTCCCCCAGAAAATTCTTTCTTCAATCAACAATATCCCGGCGATCGTGCCGATCCTCGTAGTATGGCTTCGCCTTCATCTTCTACTTGTGAAGACCAACTGAAGTTGCGCAGAACTCCAATTTCTCAATGGTGACTGCCTTCGTCAACATGTCCGCCTGATTTTGACTCCCTAAAATCTTTATTAAATGCAACTTTCCATCTTCAACTAGCGAGCGTATAAAATGGTATTTAACGTTGATTTGCTTCGTTCTGGCATGATATACTGGATTCTTGGCAAGATGTATAGCACTCTGGTTATCACAATAAAGAACTCCTCTCCCTTGCTTCAGATCCAACTCTTCCAAGCACCCGTTCAACCATATCATCTCTTTGCTTGCTTCAGTCACCGCGACATACTCAGCCTCGGTTATAGATAAAGTCACAATCTTCTACAGACGTGAGACCCAGCTCACTGCTGTTGACGCTAAGGTATAAACATACCCCGTGGTGCTTCGCCTCATATCATGATCACCGGCGAAGTCCGCATCCACGTATCCCTACAGCACAAACTCCTTCCTTCTAAAACATAGTGGCTTGTTCGTTATCTCCCTCAAGTATCGTATTATCCATTTCACGGCCTCCCAATGCTGCTTCCCTAGATTACTTGCAAATCTGCTAACAACTCACACTGCATGGGCGATGTCCGACCTCGTGCAAACCATCGCGTACATAAGGCTCCCAATGGCTGAAGAATATGACACCCTGCTCATATGCTCTCTATCTGCATTTGTCTTTGGCGATTGCTCCTCAGATAATTTGAACTGGCTTCCAAGGGGTGTGCTAACAACCTTAGCATTCTGCATATTGAACCTTTGAAGTACTTTCTCGATATATTCAGCTTGGCTCAACCTCAATGTCCCTTCAGCTATATCCCTCCTGATTCGCATCCATAGAATCTGCTTCGCTATACCCAGACCCTTCATTACAAACTCCTTTGCTAGCTGATTCTTCAAGCTATTTATCTCATGTAAACACGGTCCTGCTACCAACATGTCATCAACATATAATAACAAGATAATAAAGCTGGACTTGAACCTTTTGAAATAGCAACAATGATCCGAATTACATCTTCTGTAGCCATTGTTCTGCATGAAGTTATCAAACTTTTTATACCACTGTCTCGGAGCCTGTTTCAAACCATATAAGCTCTTCTTGAGCTTGTACACTATCTCTTCCTTTCATTCTTCAATGAAGCCAACAGGTTGCTTCATGTAGATTTTTTTCTCTAGGTCACCATGAAGAAAGGCAGTCTTCACATCCAACTGCTCAAGAAAGAGGTCTTCTACAGCCACCAAACTCAACACCACTCTGATGGTTGTAAGTTTCACAACAGGGGAAAATATCTACGTGTAGTCTACTCCTTCCCGCTGTTGAAACCCCTTTACTACTAATCTGGCCTTGAATCTCTTGCTTCCATCACTCTCTTGTTTGACCCGGTAGACCCATTTGTTATGTGAGGCCTTCTTCTGTACAGGTAGCTGGGCTAACTCCCATGTCTCATTAGTGAGTAGAGAATTCATCTCCTCCTGCATCGTATGCTCCTACTGCTAAGATTCACTCACTTGTATTGTCCCTTCATAGCTTTCCGGCTCATCGCTATCTGTCAATAATAAGTAGTCAAGAGATGAAAGATATTTGGGATTTGGTTTGGGTACCCTGGATAACCTCCTAAGCTCCACACCCTGGTTAGTTTCTTCTGCATCTGGAGCCTCCTCCGTTCTGTGGTCAGAACAAACATCATCTCTCCTGTCTGGAAGTTTCTCTATATCCATGTACTTAGATCCATCTGTATCTGAAATGTTGCTCCCACTACATTGGCTATCCTTGGCATCTTCCTTGTTCTTGTACATCACATCCTCATTGAATATCACGTTCCTGCTTTTGATGATCTTCATGTTCTTCTCATCCCAAAGGTGATATCCGAACTCATCAATGACGTATCCAATGAATGTACACTTCTATAACTTAGCTTCTAGCTTGTCCCTAACATGGTCACTGATATGAACATAAGCCATGCAATCAAATACCCGCAAGGGAGAGAGATTTATCTTCTTGCCACTCCAAACCTCCTCTGAAATCCCAAAATCTAATAGAACTGATGGCCCGTGATTAATAAGGTAGGCTGTTGTATGCACTGCATCCGTCCAAAATGTCTTAGGCAGACCTACATGTAACCGCATGCTCCTGGCACGCTCTGTTAAAGTCCTGTTCATCCTCTCTGCAATGTTGTTCTGCTACGACGTCCCTGGAGTAGTTCTCTCTAAGCGAATACCATTCATAGCACAGAACCTCTTGAAATCTCCCAGCTCGTATTCCCCACCATTGTCTGATCTCAAACACTTCACCTTCAGATCTGTCTCGTTCTCTACCATGACCTTCCACTTCTTGAAGATTTTAAACACCTCTGACTTGTGCTTCATGAAATAGATCCACACCTTCCTCGAGTGATCGTCGACGAAGGTGATATAATATCTCAAACCGCCAAAAGATGATACACTGGCTGGGCCCCATACATCTGTATGAATCAACTCTAGCTTCTGAGCCTTAGGTGGCCTTCCACCCTTCTAAAAATCAGACACTTCACCTTCAGATCTGTCTCGTTCTCCACCATGACCTTCCACTTCTTGAGGACTCCGAACACCTCTGACTTGTACTTCATGAAGTAGACCCACACCTTTCTCGAGTGATCGTCGATAAAGGTGATGTAGTATCTCGAACCACCAAAAGATGATACACTGGCTGGGCCCCATACATCTGTATGAATCAACTCTAGCTTCTGAGCCTTAGGTGATCTTCCACCCTTCTGGAAACTAACCCTCTTCTGCTTCCCAAAGATATAGTCTTCACAAACCCCGACTTTCACGGCGTGGATCCCGGTTAGCTTTCCTTATGAATGCAAAATCTTCATCCCCTTTTTGCTCATGTGCCCTAACCTATTGTGCCACAGATCTGTACTCTCTTTGCCAGCTATAATTGCGAGGGTGTCACTCGCATGTAAGGTGAGGTACAGAGTTCCTAGTTTGTTGCCTCGAGCAACTATCATTATACCGTTGGAGATCCTCCATGAATCCCCAGTGAATATCGAAACATAGCCTTCTGCTCCAAGCTGTCCCACCGAAACAAGATTCCTCTTCAGCTTCGGCTTCTGCTCCAAGCTGTCCCACCGAAACAAGATTCCTCTTCAGCTTCGGCACGTGTCTCACGTTCTTCAAAGTCCACTTAGAGTTCCTCTTCAGCTTCGGCACGTGTCTCACGTTCTTCAAAGTCCACTTAGAGCCCTTCATCTGAATCTGCACTTCACGCTTTCTAATAATATTACAGGGCTCATTATTTCCTAGATATACTTTTCTAAAGTCCCCTGCTACATAATTCTCAAATAGCTTTCTGTTAGCAGTGGCGTGGAAGAAGGCTCCTGAATCGATGACCTAAGAATCTGAATCGCTGTCCATTGTAAGAATCAAGGCATCCTACACGATATAAGCCTCCTGCTCACCCGTATTCTTCTTTGGACTTTTGCAGACTGAAGACATATGGCCCTCCTGGCTGTAGTTTCAACACTTTCCTTTGATAGGCCTAACCTTCGAGTTCGACCTCTTCTTTACTGATTTCGACCGATTCTTGTTCTGGTTTTCTTTCTTCTGGCTTCTGCCTCTCTGTTCGAAACTTAGAGCTTAACCTGAACCTTCTGATTCGGACGATTTTCTTCTAACCTCCTCGGATAGAATCATGCTAACTACCTCACTCAACTTTAACTTCTCCTTCCCCGCCGAATTACTGATTACCGTCACACAACCTGCCTAACTATCCGGCAACTATGATAGTAACAATAGGGCATGCACTTCGTCATCAAACGTGATGTCTACTGAGATAAGCTGATCAACAATCGTGTTGAACTCGCTGAGATGCATCGTGAAGGATTGTCCTTCTGCCATCTTGAGGTTGAAAAGAGACTTGACGAGATGCACCTTGTTTACTGCCGACGGTTTCTCATACATCTTTGCGAGCGCTTCCATAAGTCCCACCGTCGTCTTCTCCTTCAAGATATTACGGGCTACTGATTTGGCAAGCGACAGCCGGATTTACCCTAGAGCCTTCCTATCCAGTATCTCCCAATCACTATCTGACTCCTCCTTCTTCTGTCCTTTTTCCTTGCCCATCAACGGGCGATACAAGTCCTTCTGGTACAGATAGTCCTCCATCTGTGACTTCCAGTAGGTGAAATCTGATCCGTTGAACTTCTCGATCTTTGATTTGTTTTCCTTTGCCATGACTTTCACATAAATTACTGAACGAAGCTCTGATACCAGTTGTTGGGGAATCCGAAGCAATTAATCGGATCCTAGCCCTTCCGGACCTTGTGTTGAAAGTAGGAAACTACCACAAATAAAGATCTAACATTGCAAAAATAGTAAAGGAGACGAACACACAGATTTAACGAGGTTCGCCAACGTGCCTACGTCCTCGGGAGCCACACTACACAATTTTTTTATTAATTGAAGAAGAAATATAAGCTCTCAAACTAGGGTTTAATCTCTCTGAGATTCTCTCTCTCTTTTCAGTCAAAAAGCTCTCTTTTTTCATGTCTTACAAACCCCAAAATTGTTTGGGGTATATATAGAGTCCTAGTAGAAACAGAATCCAAAACAGTTTAGGAAACTGTTTGACTGCGTCGCGGTCGACCGTGATGGTCGACCGCATAAATTCCAGAGAGTTGAGCGGTCGATCGCGATCAGACCCAGTCTCTTCTCATCCTTGTGCATGTTCGCGGTAGATCGTGGATTTGTCAGATCGTTTTCTTCGTCGTTTTGATTCCAGCTCTCGTTTCAACTTTGGGTCTACAGTTTAGACTAACATAAGTGCTATTAATTAAAGATACATATAGATGATAGGGATTACGTGCAATTAACCTCATTTGAATTAGACTTGCAAATTGGGTTTGGGATGGTTGGAAACAAGGGTATCTTGGTTTAATAAATTATTAACAACTAACCTTGCTTATGCTTCAATATTAGTAGATCAAACAAAATTCTCAAAAGTACGCAATATATGATGATGTAGTAGTATATAATAGGCTAAATATTGCCCCCCCCCCCCCCCCCAAACTTTGGATGATTAGAAGAACGAACCCCTCCCCATCCCTCGGCCCCAAAAAAAAACCTTCTCTTTTAAAGTTAGGGGTTATCAGAAAACCCTCTTTAACTTAGATTTTTGCAGAAAACCCCCCAAAATTAGGGGGGTCTTCCTATAAAATCTCAAATTTAAAGGGCTCTTTGATGAAATCTGAAAGTTAAAGGGGTGTTATGTGATAATTCCTATACTTAAGAGGGGGGAGTTCTGATAATTTAGAGTTAAAGGGGGTTTTCTGATAATCAGCCAAAGTTGAGGGGGGTGTGGTGTGGTGGTGGTTTATGATGTTTAGCCTATATAACATATATGTAGAGTTGACACTCATTTTAAAACCTTCATTAACACTTCATTATTTTAATATTAGACGTAGTCTTGTTAATAGATGTTTGTTTTATTTCTAAGAGATATTGCCTTGATGCGAACAAATCAATGAAAATGCTAATAGAAAGGCATCAACTTCAAATGTCAAACCTGTTCGTTGCAAGTATTTCTCTACGCATATGAATGTAGACATATACATGTATAGACGATTTCTGCTCCAGATTCATATACGGTTGGGTTTCAAAATTTTAAAAATAGACCCATATTAGATTAGCTCAGATAGGGTTCAGGTTCAACCTAAGTTCCTTGACACACCATTTTTTGAGTTCCAATTGGATTTGGATCCTCTCCACTACAAAAAAATAGTGGAGAGACCACTGCTTTTAATCTCAATCGTTGATTATTTAGTAGGCGGTTATGATACAATCTAAATCTAACACTTATCATACCCCTGTGTATTGCACTCATTCCTAATTTGCACTAAAAGAAAAAATCACAACCATTAACTAGATAATCAATGGCCGTGATTATGTAGTGGTCTCTCCACTGTTTTTTTTGTAGTGGAAAGGATCCGAATCCGTTCCAATTTTCTAAATTCCTGGATGTGAAGAAATCTTAGAAATCTGTTGGACAGATTAATAACATTTTTCCTCCTTAATTCGTTCCTCAAAGCTGTAGAATTTCTTAAATAATCCATAGAGGAAGAAACATTATTGACCAAACATGACGTTATAGAGAATAAAAGTATTGCCCAGGATCGTTACCACAAGTTTAAAATTTTGTTATAGTGAAAGAGATTTAATTTACTATTGTATCAAAACAATCCAAGTTCGACACCAAAAACCCACGAATTTAAAACGCTAACTAAATAGTATAGTCAGTTTGAATCAAGATCAGCCCATTAACAGATCAACCTGCTTATGATAATATGAATTTTTAGTATAGTGAAAAGTGTCTTACGACACATTGCAGCGTTTATCTGCGATTTAATACATAGAGAATCCCTAACCCCCTCATTTTAAACAAAATTATTCCTTATGTCCTTTCTTGACTAGTACTCAGCAGTCTTCAGCTCTCGGCCACGTGACGGAATCTTGGTGGAATCTCCGGCAGAACTCATTGACGATGAGCATCCATTGCAATTCAAGCCCTATGAATATGGAGATTATGTTCGGTTCTCTTACTCAGAAGCTGGTTTTAAATCCAAATGTGCTCTTAGAGATTATTGCGGGGTATCTAGCAAGGATATTGAAGAGGAACGGGATTCTTAGTCTATCATGGAAAATGCTGTTAGAAGTGCAAACTTATGGTTGTTTGTTAGTTATGGGAGTTATTTGGATATATTTATATCATGCAGATGCTAAATAAATGGATTGGGACAAGTTCCAATTATTTCGGAGCATGCTCTAGTAAATATAACTTGGTATAGGTGAAGATTGTTCCTCCCCTCTTGGAGTCTTGATAATTAGACTACGTTTTTCAAATTAATTCTGTATTACTAGAAATAAAAACCATGGCATCCTTGATGACTCATCAAATTTTTGTACAATTTAAGATGAAGAACTTCACACTTTTGTTCCCTTGTAGTTCAAAATTATTATAAGGAGGGATTAGTCAAATAGAACTCAAAACTAGGATAACTTGTGAGAGAAATTTTATAGTGTTAGTCAACTAGAACTAAAACTATAATAAAATTTAACAGTGTTAGTCAACCAAAACTCTAACAAAACTAAAATTGGGATAATTTTACAAAATTATCCCACGTTTTTATTTTTCTATACAAAAATAAGAGTTCTAGTCTCCCAAATTATCTCATGTCTTACATCTTAGAACTAAGTGGTAAAAAAACTAGAACTACTATTTATTTTATTATTTTTTATATTTCTTTTTTTACTTCTTTCCTTACTATGGTCATCACCATCATTAAACCATACCGTCACATTAGATCTCGTCTACTCTTAATCATCTCTAATATTTTTCTTCCAGAATATTCTAATTATATAATTAATTTTGAAAGTAAAGATTGTATCAATCTATTATTTATTAAGCAATAAAATTGAGAGATGAGGTGGAAAAAATAAGAAAAATGTGAAAAAAATTTAGACTTGTACTTTAATAATAATTAAAAAATAAAAAGCTACAACATATATTATAATAATAATTGTTAATATCTTATAGTCTAACCAAAAGTTATTTAATAGTAAATAACACTCTCGTAAATAAATATCAATCAATACGAGTAAGTTTAAAATATATAAATAGTAGTTATATCTTCAAAATGCATAAATATATACTTCATGATTATAAAAATGTATTCCACTTTATTTTATCAAAATATTTTACTTTACAAATATTTTCCTTTTTATCCAACTAAAATGTCCCACTAGTAAAAAATTATTCCATTTTAACAATTATCCCACTTTGCATAAATATGCCACATTTGACTAACACACGCTAAGAGATATGTAGTTCCTTTTTTTATCAATGAAAAATTTTATTCATTCGCCATTTGAAATTGAGAGTACATCAAGGTCTTAGATGATGATCTAAGAATCACTTACACGTAAGAAAAAATTATATTTGAATGTGGAAACAAATGATAAAACTAAGAGATAAAGCTATACTTCACTACGGGGGGACTGATAACCTTTTGAATCTTCTTAGTACATGTTTCAACAACTCAAAATCTCAATTATCTGCTCTATACTATGCTCTTTCCCCAGCTACTCAAAGGGTGCCATGGCATGATACAATGTGGGACAAAATGTGCTACCCTAAACATTCTTTCATCTGTTGGCTTAAAGTTCAAAACAGATTGCTTACCCATGATAGACTGATGAGAAGGGGTGTTATACATGATAATATGTGTTGCTTATGCTCGGGTGATGGTCTGGAAAGTCGTAACCATCTATTCTTTGAATGTGGGTTCTCAAGTGAAGTGTGAAAATGTATTATGAACTGGCTAAAATTCAAATGGAAGGCATGTGATTGGAGGCTTCTCATGGACTGGTACTGTTCAAGGCTAAAGGGAAAGGGATTTAAGCAAGAAATTAAGCGCATGACTCTATCGGCAACTATCTACAGGATCTGCAATGAACAAAAAATCAGACTTTTTTGGCAAAAATACAGAAGTGTGGAGCTATTGGTTAAGGACATAAAGATGGATATATTGTCTACAAATCTAAATATGCCTATATTAGATGAAAACAGGGATTGGTAACTTTCTTTGTAATGCCCTGCATGAAGGATTTTGTTAGAGTAGGTTGTTTTCAGGTTTTGATATCTAATATGATATAATGAGATTCTTGATGTACATAAATTTCTCAATTTGGTAAATGAATAAAATATTTTCACTGACCAAAAAAAATTATATTGTATCTATCCATCTTCTACAATCATAACTCGAATTATTATAAATAACAATAGTAACAACATCAATTTTGATTTTCCTAACAAGAGCATCCTGATCCCCTTTCATGGCAACTATGGTACACTGAAGTAGAGAGAACTAGCCTCTTTAGTTTTCTCCTAAATTCATTCCCCTTCAGTCGATTAGAGAACCAACCAATAAGATATATAACCAGTTGCAAGATCTCCATTCAAACTGTGTCCAAGCCATTACTGAATTTTAGGCTTGCGCAGCATACGTACACTTAAGGAAGAGGAGTTGATGTGTATCTTCGGTAGCTTGCGAACAGAGCGAGCACACAAGCATTTGCAGAGATAATTATCATATCACATAACCCATATTGTGTAAGAAGCTTAGATTGGATAGCCAGCTCTAGCATGATAGAAAAGTTACTAAATAGGGTCCCAAATATTAAGACACACCATGGGACTTTAGCATGATTTCAGCTGAGCTAAGAATATAATGAGGACAGATGAACTGTGTATCCATCACGGTAAGTTTGTATCTTAGCTATCAGAGAACTGATCCCACAAAAATGGTGAATAGCAATGTCTCTACATTTCAGAAGTTCCTTCCACGTCCATGAGTTGACAGTTTTTGGTTGTACTTTCCATATAGTAACATTCTTCCAATAATTTTCGTGGATCCATTTAATCCATAAAATATCTTTTTTCGCGTAAGCCACCATATTCCATTGCTTTTCTGAATAAAACCTTAAACCCCGAAACACTTATTTTTGGGAGACCTTACTCCACGCAATGAGTGATATTTTTTATGAATGGCCTGCTTTCCCCCACAAAAATCTTCTGCAGAGTCATCTATTTTATTCAAGACCCTTTAGGTAAGACATAGTTCTAATCTATCTGTATACCCATAATAACATTTTTAGTCAATTGTAATCCACCAGCATATGATAATGTCATATTTTTAACACATCCAATAAGATGACTTGAAATCTTAGCAATGAGAGAGCTACAATCCATGAAAGAAAGCTTTCTATTACTTAGAGGCATACCTAGGTATCTGATAGGTATGATTCCCTTAGAGTAGCCAAGATTATTAAGAATATCCTGCTTAATATCTTCCTGAACACCACTCACCAATGAGTATTACCATTCTGCTTGGGTTTGAAACAAGTCTAAAAACCAAGATAAATTCCAATAAACAGAGACGTAGCTTATTGATAGTTATCATATCTCCTATACTAAAGTAACAAGTCATCAGCAAATATGAGATGAGTGAAGTTAAACTTTGCACATTTTGGGTGGAAACTGAAGTTCTTTTCTTGCTTAAGGAGAGCTAGTCTTTCAAAGAAGTATTTCATCCCAATGTAGGTGTAAAGTGGATCACCTCGCCTTAATCCTCTCTTACCATCAAAATAACAATGAAGTGGCATATTCAGGAAAATGGAGTACTTAGGAGTTTAGATACATGTCATAATCCAAGCAACTATTTTTTATGGAAACCCCAAACCCAACATCATAGTTTCAATAAAGCTTCAACTAATAGAATCAAAGACCTTGCTAATATCAACATTTAGCATTGCTCTTAGTGATAGATTTCCCCTACCATATTGTTTAAGAAGCTCATGCGCAAGTAGAATATTGGTGGAGATGAGTCTATCTTTAACAAAAGCACTTTTGGACTCATTTATGAAGAAACCCATGATTGTTAGAATTCTATAAGCAATGATTTTAGAGATTTTCTTATAAATACAATTGTAAAAGGATATTGACTTATAATCACTAGTAGATAAATGAATTTTAGGTGCTAAACTACTAGAGGTTGAGTTGAACATACCCAAAAGCATTCCATGAGTAAAGAACTCCTGAATTACTAAAAACACATCACCACCAATGATATCCCAATTGAAGCTTTGAAGAAGAAAGCACTACAAGCATCAGATCCAAGTGCTTTATCGTCAGACATGGAGAAGAGTGCTTGTTTAAACACCTCAGAAGTGACAGGAACACAAAGTTGTTGAGCTTGAAAGATATTTAAATTTAAAGTTGTCCAGATATTTTATCATTAGACATGGAGAAGAGAGCTTCACTATAATTGTCCTTCTTTTATACACTATAAACCAACATTACTTTTAAGTGTGCCTACCTGGCCCGGTCTAGACAAAGATCTTTATGTGGACTCCAACCCGATTAGGCTAGCTAGATCTAGGTCCAGATATGGGTACTCCATCGGCCAAGTGCCGAGTAGCATAATTAATTAGCGTGTTTTTTCAAAAAAAAATTTAAATTTAAAAAAATCTAAAAAATTAAAAATTGGGACAAAAATTCAATCTTATTATTAATGACTTAAAATTATAGTTTAAAATTTAGTAAAACTAAAAAAATAAAAAAATTACGAGGATCATTTAATGTTACAATGTAAATCATTTAATCCCTCCTACAACAGGGTCAAATTAAGTCTTACAAGTGTTCATCGTTATAAAAAGTTTAGTATATTTAATCTGCACACACAATGTGATAGATTTTAGAACTATTCCTATTTGTTGAAAGTTATACTTGGTGTTCATTTCTATGCTACATGTTAGACTCTTTTGTTTTTTGGTTTTGTTTTTTTTGTGGATGCTTTATAAATTATAGCAAGATTATATTTATTTCTACAGTGTTTCACAAATTAAATGACTGTAGAAAATATCACCAAAGGTTTTGACATGCTTATACACTACAAATAGTACTTTAATGATCTGTACAAAAATATATGAAGATTACAAATAAATGTTCAAGCTATCACATACCTAATTTACAAATAAATACATACTTAACTTACAAACAAATAGTCAAAATATCGCAAACTGTCTTCCTGACTTATTCTTTTACAGAGAGGAATCTATATAAAGAGGTG